GTATTATGTATTTTCCATACATAACACTTAAAGCACATTTTACAGCACAATGAAGTAACTATGTTACCTTCAGTTGTTATGAAAATAGTTTAGATGCCAAAAGTAACTTAAAAACAAAAGCTGAATTTGCAATTTGACACCTTGAAATTGGGACTCCGCCCCTTTAAGAAGCTCCTACTCTTTCCGACACTTTGTTTATGACGGCATAATGGGATGCCGTCATAAACCCTGTGCACCCATGAATGGCTGCCAGGGGAGAATCAAGGATTCTGCAAATGTGCATTAAAGAAATAAAGCAACACCACAGACATGTTTTTGATGAGGGAATGACATCATAACATGATGTAGCGATGATTTTGCACAATGCAGCCCGTTTAAATGAGCCTTTAACAGTTTGACACTTTGTCTCGTTACCACCATAAACTTTTATGTGAGTGTGCCAGTGGCTTGGGTGGTGGTTGCCGTCCTGGAGTTTTCTGTTCCTTCCCAGGGATTATCGGGGGGGTTTGCATCAGGGAGGACATCTGGTGTGCAAAATGTCTGTGAAGTCTGTGTGTACCCTGAGGAGGGAGGTGCCAAAAGGATGATGAAGACGGCCATAAACCTCTCTGCATTTTGGGGGAATTTTATGAGAAACTGTTGATTTCGCTTAAAATAAAGGGAAAACTCTGGGAAAAAAAATCCCTGAAAGCAAGATAACAACCAGAGCTAGAAAAGACTTGCTTAGATCAAACTATACTTGTGTGTTTTTACGGCCTAGTCAAAGTCCAGACCTAAATCTAACTGAGAATCTCACATGTGCAATTTACGTGTGAATCTTTACATGTGAAATAGCTGAAGGTTTAATTCCCGTCGGGGCCGTACTTGCTTGCCTTTCTTTAAATTTTTTTATTTTCAGGCTGATGTCAATAACCTTTGATTAAACCCTAACCACAGTGCTGTGATGAAGCAGAACAGCTGCCATCTGGGTTCAGACCATTATGGTAACAAACAAATTGATCATTGTAACAGAGGTTACCACTGCAGGCTAAAATTTCAAGACATTTACAAATCACTACATTACACCACACACACACGCACAACTACACAATGTTCTAATAAATGTTCAGTGGCAGCCACCCTTGAGTCCTTGAAATATATTTCTCATTTCTAAATGTTTGTACAGATGATGAATAAAGCCAAACTCATCTACTATACTGCTGTAAAAACACCCACCATGATATTAGCGCCGTCATGTTGCCTATAGTAGCCACACAAGACTACCGGCTCAGACAAAAACATATTATGATAAGAAAATTACACTTTCTGGGTAAACTTTATTTCTGTGTACTATTCGGCAGGGCTTATTACGGTCTAAATTAAACTACTAAAACTCTTGAACCAAGGCAGAAATCAGAATGGTAATTTGCTTCAGAGGAAAATGTAATAATACTGTTACCATTTTTTTTTTCTGTTCGCCGCTGCCTAACAGCAATAAGTCCATCGTGAGCGTAATGAAGCCCCCTTCGCTGAGCACTCCAGTGGATTAATGCGAGCCACTTTTGTCTGGCCCCCACAGATGATGAGCTTCCTAACAACCCCCCTAGCAGCATCCTTACACTAAACCTTTATCAGGCACAACCCCATTTGATTTGCAGAACAGTTTGTCGCCCTGGCTCACATGTTGAAAGGGAGATTCAATAACTTGGACTTTACACATTATACTTAAATGGGGTCATTTGGCAGCCAGTATCTGCTCCACATGCTGTGTGCCTCCGACATGGATCTATAGGGCTCATTCTGTTCCATTGACTTTCAATCACGTTCCTCTTAGTCCCCCGGTTCTCCACCGACTGCCAACCAGCGACTCATTACAGTGATGGGTACGGGTAACCAGGGTCTCACAACTAGAGCACTATGTTGTGTACCACTGTGTGTGTGTGTGTGTGTGTGTGTGTGTGTGTGTGCGTGTGTGTGTGTGTGTGTTTTGTCAGTATTTTCCAGGCTCGTTCTCAAAAATAACTTTCCTTTTCAGACAGAAAAGTCCAAATTATAAATTCAAGATTAGGAATACTTCAACTGCCAAATGAGAAGAAATTATTCCATTAACCCCATCAATGCCATTCCACACAAAATTACCTTTTTTGAGTATTTCAAGAAAGAATAGAAATATTATTTGTTGTCCCTCAATGCGGAAATTCAGACGTACCAGCAGCAGGTTAATGGTGAATAAAGTCATGCATTTTTAAACCACGTTAAAAATACAAAGCAGAAATAATAGACTCTGTGTAGTAAAAGCAATTTACAAGATAGATAAAATAATACTGCACAGTAATTAGAAATAGCTTACTTTGATTAAACAAAGTGTGAAACAGAGTAGGGTCATTTAAAAACCTTTTGATGCCTAGAGTCTCTTGGAGTCAATAATAATGGCCTCAAATTAGGGAGAATGGCACAAGATTGTCAGATCTGATCAAAATATCAACAAATTATTTAGAAAAACAAAAACAAAATGGAAATATCAGCAGCAATGTAAACAGTGAGTTTTTAGGACGAAGGTGGCCCTCTTCATGAGTTTAACAAATCCTATCAAAAAAAAAATATGAGATTATGATGCATTTACTTCAAATCTATTCAAGTTTCTGATAACTTAAGGAATGTTAGGTTATAGCAATTTTCATTAAAAAAGGTAAAGAATTTCCGTTAAATAGTTAAGTAAATTACAAGACTGATCAATTTAAAAATTAATGAAAAAATAATATGTTGTTCAGCTTTCTGCTTAACCTCGTGAACAATCCTGTTTAGACACTAAAATCCCTGACTTGTAAGATGGAGTGGTAACCAAATGGAAGCCGCTGTGGGAAGCTCGTTTTAACAACACCCATCTCATCCATTCCAATCTTTCAGCAAAGCACATTCAGGTCCATTTGAGACGAAAAAGAAAAACTGATTCATCTCCTTTGGAAAATATTATGAGGCCTCCCTGACTATATGTACATAAGGTCCATCTGGTGCCAAGCACACAAACACAGATGAGTTTTTATTGTCTCTCTGGCCTCTAGTGTCGGATCAGCTGGGAACATTCCCACGTCCTATTCTCTTTTTCTTACTGTCTGCAATACTAAAAGAAACAAAGGGAACAAAAGGTCACTGTTATTGACTGTACTGTTGTAGTTCTCCAAAAACATTATATGTACGATGTTTGGAGACATATTTTGGAATTCAGACGAAACGATCCACAGTAAATTATGCTACATATTCGAGAGCTTCAAGCAGATAAAAACAGCAGTGAAATTTGTCAAATCAGGTGCAGTTAAAGGGTTTTAGCAAATTATAGTGTTTTTTTTTTAATCTGAGAAAGATTCATCTGAATTCACAAAATTCATATAATCTTCTAAATATTAACAGCCTTTAATGAGAACTGTCAGCATATGCAAAATGAGGATTAATTTCCTCCCAGTGATTGTTGAAAACACAATCTAGGATTGTTTTTCTGCACTAGTTTTTGTATTAGTTTCCTAACCAATGCAAATGTGGACCTTCAAACCTTCAAAGGCCAAAATGTAGGCCCTAAGTGGGACCAGGATGGACATCAAACATTGGGGGACAAAGTACCAGTATGAGATGTGAGAAATCTGCGGGCTCTGTAAGCTTTGATGTCAGGCCATGAAACTCCAGATTATGTTAATCTATCAGGGTGGTAAGTGGAAGAAGGATGTTTTCCACTTGGCCTGTTAAAAATCCCATAAAAGTGTAAAAAATATGTTTCATTATGTATGTTCATAAATGTGTCAGCTATCATTTGTCTCATTTTGTTACAGTATTTTCACAAACACATGTCCTGTAGCTGCAAACTTTGACCACAAGAAGGCAGTGTTGCAAATTTGAGTCATGGATTTTCAAGGGTTTTAGTAGTTTCTTAGTATTTCCTGTGTTTGTGTGAATAAGCAAATGCAGATATTAGACTCAAATCATGATGGCAGGGTTTTTTAAAGGAAACTTTTTCTGCAAATAACTTGTTAAATATATTTGTGAAATAAGATCTGAGCGTTAATTTAAAGCATTTCTAAAACTGATTGTACAGGCTGCTCGTACTGGCTCTGAATTGGCGAAAATTGTTTTCTGGGTTCAGAAACATTGACTGTACCAATGTGTGTTTTCAGTGTTTAAAGTGAAGAGTAACAGACTCCCATTGCTTTTGAACTACTTCCCAAAGATTTTGTCCAAGTCAGTTTTCTTATCTCTTAGATAAAGCTAAAGCAAAAAGTATTTGTTTGTTCAATATTGCCCCCATAGACTATTAAGAAAACTGCAATTCACAAACACAAGTAAATGTGTACTGGGGCGCAACTCGTCTCCAGTTTAGCTTAAAGCGAGAAAAGACACACACAACAGCCTGAGCAACGGCCATGTGTCGGCAAGCAGACATATTATGTATTGTTCCTGTTGATCCACCAATTGCTTCCACTGCGGGCGCAATTGCCCAAACTCAAACTATGATGTGGGCAAGCAAACGCAGGGCTGCAGTCCAATGTCATATAATAGTTAGTGGTTCCTCTTTGGGGGGACATCTGTGGACCAGGTCATTTGCCGCACAGTGAGACCACATGTGCCCAGCTTGCTGGGTTGTACTACACAGTATGATGTCATGGTGAAAAAAGTGAGCTCTGAGCAGGACACTTAAATACAACCGAGACCGTTTAGACTACAAGGAGTTTTTGCAAACAAGATATGTAACATTAATCAACAATTAATTAAAGCCCGAAACAAAACACATCTTCATGTCAAATTTTGTTCCTATTTAGTAACAAAGACAGGATATATTTAAAAATAATTCAAACTCAAAGGAAAAATCTCAGTTCAGATGCTAAGATGGAACTCAAGAGGATCAATCTGGAGAAAATGGTGAAGTGCTTCCCAAAAGAGAAACAGTTTTCGGAAACCGTGTGGTGTGAGACACTCTGGAAAGGTCACAAGTCCATCGTACATAAAGAAGCTGTGCACACTTAAAGGCCATTTTAGCTAACATGCATCTCATTTAATACAAATATCTGGTAAAGACAATACCTGGATGGATGTTACCTAACATAAGACATTTGAAATAACTACATTTCTTAAAAGAAACACATGTATGAAGGGATTTTTGAAGGCAATAATCTGTAAACATGAATTTGAAAAAAGAGGAAACAGAAGGAGATGGTGAGAATACATCCTTGGCATCATGGATGTAAACATGAAGACAAGAGGAAGTTGCATAATCAGCTTCAGAATCAAAGCCTGTGGAAGAGGACAAAACGGCAATATTCTGGGGAGGCAGTTTGCGAAGGATCCCGGCGCATGTGCACGTTTTGCCTGTGAAGTTGATGAAGATTGAGCCATTAAAAGGATTATCGTCGTTCTGCTCAAGGGAACAATTGATGACGCCTTAGAACGGCAACCGAACTGTTTTAACCTGTCTCTTCGCCATTTATCATCGTTAGGACAACAGCTGCAGTACTCTTCCTATCCCCATAAAAATCCCCCTCCGAACGTGTCAACGTGTGTGTGCGAACGTGTTTGTAAGAATCCCTGTCTCGCACTGTATGTTACACAAAGGAGGCAATTTACAGTAATGTGAGGGAGAGGAGAGAAAAAAAGAAAACCCTCAGTGACAGGGAGGCAACCACAAGAAGCTGTTGGAAGCAAATTTGATCTTGGCCGCAAACGGGTAACCAGAGGGTTGATGGTGTTTTTGTGTTCCATATGCTCGCTGGAAAATGGGCTGTCATCTAGATTTCTCTGTGAACATAAGAGGAGACGGCAGGGGAGTCACAGCACATGGTTGACTCTCCCAGTGTACATTCACTTGAAGATTTAGGAGTCTCCGGAGACCGGAGTCCAATTGCATCTTGCGTTTGTTTATGAACGGACGCAGTCAACGGTGTGTAAAGTTGATTTCCCGGGGTCCACGCGTGCTTGTTCTGGGGCCGCCACGTAGAGCGCCGAGCACCGAGTCAGTACATTAGTGTCACGCCAGATGTATCCTCCGCCCCGTCCCCAGGCTCTCGCTGCAGGCCCGCAGAGAGGAATTCAGTTGCAGCCAGCGGCACTTTGCATGATGAGCCTGGCCGATAGCCCCGATGAGGACTGATCGCACTACTTGGAGAGAAACGGGGAAGGACACGGAGGGAGGGAGAGAGGGATGGAAAACAGATGGGAAGGAAAAGCAGAGGAAGGAGGACTGTGGAAGAGATATAGATGGGGTGGATTGATGTAGGGGAGAGTAATGATGGGGAATGATAGGTTTAAGAAGAGTAATGTCGGTGTGTACAGAGTTCTCTTAAATAGGCAAATGGCCAGCCATCACTGACAGTTATCTTCTCCGACTTACAGCAGGCTCCGACACCTATCATTACCCTGCTGAATTTATTATAAAGTTCAGAGGAAAATCGTCGTCTTCCAGTAAATCTTTGACTGTGGCCTCGGTGGCAGCTGAGTCCATGGCTGTGCCATCCCAGAGCATGCTTAAAAAAAAAAAAAAAAACACTCAGTGAAGCAAGCTGCTGCTGCAGGGAGGGGAGGAAGGGGCAAAGCAGGGGGTGCATCACATTAGCACTTCAGATCCATAATGCTGAGACTTATAAATAATTAGCAGCTTGCACTATAGGGAACCAAGCTAGCTGTTAGTTAAAAAGCAAAAACAGGGAATTTCATTTACATCGGGCTCATTGATGTTGCGCACTATTCAGTCTTGATTCAGAAAGTTGTCTTTTCATCAAAACAGCATGTGTAAGCTTTGCAAAGAATATAAAAAAAACATTTTGTTGTTGGTGTTTATGTCAGAAGGTGCAAGCGCGTCGCAGAATGTGTGAGAATTGGCTGGTTTTTATGTGTCGTTCCCTTTGTCTTTAATTTACTGAATTTGAAGTTTGCACAGTTGCTACTTTCAGTTGAACTGTGCAAATGTTTTAAAGACTGCAGCTCATAATTATGCATTCAAGTGTAATGAAGTAGTGTGAAAAAGTGTTTGCCCCCTTCCTGACTTCCTTATTTTCCCTTTGCGTGTTCGTCACACTGCAGTGTTTCAGAACACCACTATGATTTAAATAATAGTCAAACACAACATACGTAAAAACAAAATGCAGTTTCTAAATGAAAGTAGGTGCGGAAAGAAAAGTCAAAACCTATGTTGTCCTGTGTGGAAAAAGTGATTTCTAACCTAGGTCTACTCTACATACAAAACTAAAATCTGTGAATACATACAGTATGAGCTTCTATAAAAATGCTTATAACTGTCTATATTCAAAGATCAAACACCAAAAATACCACAATATTCATTAATACGCAAACGCTAACACTTACAGTCTTATCAGTTTTTATCTCTGCTAATGGAGATACAGCCAATCAGCACCAAGGAAAGTGAATTGCATTCTGGATTGGCAGTCAATAGTGTGTCTAGGTATTTCAGCTTCCTATGCATATTTTAGATATGCTCTACAAAAATATTTAAGGAACAGGCACATTTTAAGCAAATAATCTGTATAGTAAATAGTGAAGGTTTAAGACAAGTGAGTTGGTCGTTCAAAACTCTAGTTAAACTGATGAAAAATCTAACATTTATCAGAAGTTTGCTGGTTTCAGACTTGATTAAAGGAAAAGGTTTGTGACCAGATGTTGAGACTTAATCAGTGAGGGCACAGAAGGCAAGCAAAGGAAGAGGAATTTAGCTTCACGCCGTTTGGTCCGGAATCGGCTGCAGTTTCACCAATCACTGAGCCAACTTGACTTTGCAATCCCACAGTTGTGTCTGTCAGCTCAGCTGATGGGGGAATCTCAGCAAAACAGCTGCTTTTCTCTGCAGAAAGTTCACCAGAAAGGACTGGCAGCTGTACTTTCTGGCCCCGTTCTTGTACGTTTTGGTGGTTCCCCAAATGGAAATCCTCCTAGAAAAATTTACTGACTGAACCCAAGCAAATGTCAAACAAGAATCACGGGGAGCCTTACAAAAAACAGACAAACATGTAACGCATGATGCAGAAAAACGCAAAGCACAAAGTAATCCTGGCAGCGCAAGAAATCTTCATAGATTTTTCCCTTAAGTTCTGATGGGGATTTAAGCAAAACATTTTGAGGCGGTTATATTTCGGAGATCGCAAGACACCACTTGTGTGGATATAAAAGATTTGGTACAGAAATTTTAAAGAGATAAGGCAAGGTGAAATGTCTGAGGTGTTTTGTGCACTAAATGCACAGCCATGTCACTTTTAACAGTGTTCTGTAATAATAAATAAGGCCCATTAATGCTGAATATATGGAGAAGGGCTTGAATTGTAAAAATAAAAAGAATATCTCTTTGTAGAAATGCTTCTTTAGATAAAGTAGACACTGTCGTCTTTTTATCACGTTTCAGCTGCTGCACTTGTTAGCAGCCATTTTCATGAGCTTAAAGTTGTCCATCAGCCCTAATAATAATTTCTTTATAATACCCAAGTCTGACAATGAACTTTTCACAGAGGGCAGATTGAGTCAGAGCTCGCTAATCAGGAGCTGAACACCCACTGACCTGTTACATCCACCTCCACAGAGGTTTGATTGTCTCACCCTCGCACCACTACACGACATCAGGGACTGCTGCTGATGAGAGCGACTGCTGATGAAGGGAGAGGAAGTGCGGATGAGCAACAGGAAATCGTCGAGAGGAGACAACGGTAATGACAAAATTGTTAAATTAGGGTTTAATTTCCTTCCCGCCCCCTTCTTGCCACATCACAACCTCAGTCTGTATTTTCTAAGGATGTTACGTCTTTGTAAGCAAACAGGAAGCACATAATCGTACAGAGGACCGTGGTTTTTTTAAAGCTTCGTTCCGTACATCTGAGTCAGTAGTCTGCGCGTCAGACTTTCACTGCATTTAGCAGCAAGGTTATGACAACGTTTCATGAGCTTTAGAACTCAGGGAATGCTAATAAATGCCCAATTTTTATAAAATAGCTTAGATTACAGGGTTAGCGTCTGTGAGCATCACTTTTCAAGTCTAGCTAGCCACATGATTCTCAAGTGGATTTGGGTCTCAACTGAAAATGTGAGTAAAATTTTTCAAATTAAACAAAGTCAGTGTCAAATGTTTGTGCAGCAACATTTTTTGTTTGTGCTGCTGTCATTTTAAATACATAAATAAATGTTTCCATTTTCTCCATATTTCGTTAGCTTAACCGCATAACTGCATAAGTCCTATTTTAAAATATAGCGTTACATTTGTGCAGCAAACATTTTTGTTTGTGTCGTTATTATTTTTAACCTTCTCACCCCAGACACACACACACTAATAAAATTAAACAAAATTTGTGTTGAATTAATTGTGCTGTTTGTGATGGTTTGTGCAGCAAAAAGTTTTGTAGCACAGCTGATTGACTACAAATCAATTTGATTTTGTCATTCGTTTTTTTTTTTTTTGTTTGGAGAGGTTTGGCGGGGGAACGACTAGTTGACCTTTGATGACCCCTGAAACATTTTTGAATATCTTTAAATTGACAGTAACATAAACAATCAGGTTTTTGTTGCATAATTCAGGTTTGACAACAGTTTTCATTCACGTCTCCCTAGTTTCAACTCTTTTCTATCCCCGCTGAAGGAAATTCTCCCCACAGCATGATGCAGCCACCACCTTGTTTCATGAGTAATATACGCCGACTGTTTTCCAGCAAATGGAGCATTTTTCTGTGTAGGCCAAAAAGTTTCATTTTGATCTAATTTGATCATGAAGGTGGATATTTAGCTGCAATAAAGCAGTGTTATGATAACTTTACTCTATGCCCATATTCCTTCTAATTTGATTTTTTTATTTCTGGAGCACAAACCTACTCAAACCTCTTCTGCGAACAAAGCCTCCGTCATCACACGTGTGTCATCAAACGTGTTCTGTGCTTCTCCAAATATCGCCACGCTCAGTTGCTCATGTTATAATCGTCATTATGGGTTCCCGTTTTTGGAAATACCCACCACCGGAGCCGGAGACCTCGTTCCATTTCCCTCCCTGCCGTGAAACAAATCAAAAACCGCTTCGGCCAAACGTCTTCGAATGCCATCCGTGCCACCTCATGATGACTGTGATATTAACCGTCGACGTGAGCTGGCCACCGAACTACCAACCGGGGTCCACTTCTGAGTGTGAGTCAGTCAGTGCAGAGGATGACTTCCTCAGCTCTCGCATTATCATCCGCGCACTTGCAAACCCATTTACGAAACAGTGTGAATGAGTATGTGTTGTTGTTCAGTTGCTCGGTCAGGGTTGGAGCGGCCTCGTGTAATAGTCATTTGTTTTCATAGTTTGCTTTGCAGCGGCCGTGACAGATTTTTGCGGCCAAAATTAACACTGCTGTGGAGTTTTACAGTGGAAGCCAGCTTTCAATTTCTCTTCTTTTCATGTTTTGTCAGTTTTTAGCAATCATGTCTTTAAACTGCAGCATGTTGTGAATCATGGCTATTGATGGATAAGAAGCCAACAAGGACAATCTTATCACAATAATGGCTACAATTCACTAAATAAATAATTAATATTTTCTGTAAAAAAAGCTGAGTTAGAGTGTGTCCAGCATTCATAGATGTGTTCATTTACCACATTTAATGAACAACTTTAACAGAGAAATGCAAAGTTTGAATTGTGTTGCTCAAATAGCACAACAATCATGGTGGACTTTTATTTTGAAAAGTAAATAAATTAAACCATCTGGGTTTAAAAAGACAGAAACAGATTGCTTTTACATTGCTCCAACTTAGTTCTGTGACTGGCAGGCCAACTACTGAAAAACTAATTATTCTTTTTAACTGAGGCATCACATCTTAAAGCAAGAGGAAATAGCACATTTTAGGCCCAATTTATTTAGGGTTTGTCAAAAAAAAAGACATTGGGAAATTATTATAGATATGTGACATCAAAACTGCATTTCTATCTAGAATGATGAATCTATGCAACGTATATGACTGGCAAGAACTATTGCACTTTCATAGAATGTTCATTTTTTTAGACATATTTGTACTAATGTGTGTGTAGAGGCCCAGTCAAAGTCCGCGTCTCAGTCTAATAGAGAATTTGTGAAGATACTTGAGACTTGTTTTTCGCAGATGCTTTCTTGGAACCAAACTTTTGCGTCTCACAGAATTGCTGCAAAATCTGTACTAGAAGATATTTTGTTTTGGCACATGTGAGGAAGATCAAGAAAATGTTTAAGTCTAAGTTTCAGAAACATAAAAGATTTGTGATTTCTCTGATGCATGCATCAGAGCAGAGGAAGTCTAATCAGTGCCTTGGTGTGTATTCTGCAGGGGGTTCTTCAAAACCCCTATTCTACACCACAAACACTCGCCAGTCATCAGTGAAATGTACTGTCATCTCTCTTACATCATCATCTCAGCGGCTGTCTGGAAATCCCCTCTCTCTCTCTTCTCCCATTACCCCAATATCCTGCTTCAAGTCCTCTGTGATGTCACACGGACAGATCTGGAGCGCTCTCCGCACCCTCGTTTGGTCAGCAGTAATTGGAGAGGCATGACAAAATAAAACACAGCTGGATTGGATTTTCACTCCAAATGCAAATTAATTCTTTTCTTTTTTTTTTTTGCTCCAGGCATCAAACCTGTTTCTGCTAAGTCTCTGTCGTGATGTCAGTGAATTAATTGGAGCAGGCTGTGGGGCAGTTCGACCTGGTGATGCCTGCAGGTGAACACACATTAACAATGTGTTCGCATTTATGTTTTTTAACTCTGGAAATGTAATTAAACTGCAGAAAAATTGATCTTCTTTTACTTTGATTCACATGTGTCAAACTAATAGCTTCGGGGTCAAATCTGGGCCGCCATAGCTTTTTATACGGCCCTCTAGACTCCAGAGGGACTCATAAATAGAACCTTTTACATAACAGATGTATGTTTATACATTACTTGTTCAAGTAGTTTTTGTCTATATAGTGCCAAATTATACCAGTCTCTCAGGTTTGTAGAGACTGGTACAGGCTCCCGGATTTTTTTTTTTTTTTTTTTTTGCGCTATCTCAGGATTTCACTGCAAGTTTTCCGCACAAATGGTCAAAACAATTGTGTTTAAGATACTACTAACTCCCACCTGAAGGCGGCAGTGTTTCTTACCTCTCCATCTCAGGCTAGCAGTTCCTCAGACCCAAGAAAACGCGGAGAGCTTCGACGACTGGTGCGGTGGATTCACATTTACTTCATTTGAAACCAGGTTTTGCTGAAGTCCACCAAATACACCGTGAAAACTAAAGGGAACAACAAAATACATCTGCTTAAGTGCTTTTGTTTGACACAGAACATTACATAAAAATGCTAATTTCATAAACTAACACAGCTCTAAACATGTACCTCGCCCCTCTGTCCAAGGGCTGCAAAGTTTTTATGACGGTAAAGTCCGTGTTGTGTTGCTTGGAAGCCTCGAACGGTGTTCTGAAGAATGTGCGCAATAGACCCGAGTCACAAAGATGAAGAATATCCTCCTCTTCCTCTAGTCCGTGGGATATTTCAGCCCGAAGTACTGACTGGCAGGAGACGTAGCAAAACTTCCTAACTCTTGTTTTCTGGTTTTAATGAAGGCACATCTCATCACAAACTAAGCTACAGCACCCCAACTGGACGTTATGGGTAACAACCTATAATCAACCTATAAAACAGATATTTACACTGCAATAAGCAAAAATCCCACATTTGCAAAATTTCTTGCAAATATTTCTCGGTTAGCGCCACGAAATCTGTAATTTGAATTGCAAAAAAAAAAAAAAAAAATCTCCAAAACAAATGGGAAATCCTGTTGGCACTGATCAATGTGAAAAAAATGTTCAATATCATTTAATCTTAAGAAATACTTATTTACTGCAGAGATGGCTATTTGTTAATATTATACAGTTTGTTGTTGGGGTTTATCACCACATTCTGGAACATCCAACCCTTGAGAACATCCATGATTTTGATATGAACCAAAATGAAAATTAGTTTGACGCACCTGCTGTAGTCTATTAAATCTGCGACTGAACACGAGTGCTTTTGTGCTTTGCTTTGTTTTGTGTTTTGTTTCAGTTTTGTGCTTTTAGCGAAGCACAAAACTGCGTCCAAAAACCTGAAAAATAACACGGTAAACATGACCTTCTCGTCTCTCTGCACTGGCGATCACCTGCAGCCGTCTGATACGAGTCCTAAGTTGACATTCTTTTTTTTTTATCCTGCAGCCGAACTCTTGTTGGTGTTGCCTGCCTGCTGACTAATTGCAATAATAATTGTGGTTCCGGCTAAACTTGGCCGGAGCTGTGACCCGAGCCTGCTGTGAGTGGATCGGAGATAATGAAATAATTGCCCCTAATGCTATTTTCCCCCCACCGAGCCGCCGCCGAAAAACTTCCAGCGTCAGACGAAGAGGCATCAACATTCATTTGGTCTCCATCAGCGGCATTTTCCGCTTTAATTGAAATTTAGATTGTTGTTGACCCCCCGGGTGAGGTTTGGTGGACTGAGCCAGGGGGAGGCTGGATCTTGTGCAACACTAATGGGGTGGGCTGGCCAGAGAATGCCATCTATCTGTCATTGCATGTGTGTGTGTGTGTGTGTGTGTGTGTGTGTGTGTGTGTGTGTGTGTGTGTGTGTGTTTTTCATAAAAAGACGAATTTCAGTCCATTTATCTTCTCCCAGCTCTGCAGCTGCTTCTGCATATGTATGTGTTTGTGATGATTAGATGTGAACATGCACAAACGCACTAACACACATAAATATATATGCCTTAGCTGTATGTGTGTGTTTTTAGTGTCGCTGCTTGGGAAAGCGTGCTCTGATGGGGAATTTTTCTTTTTTTAAAGGCTGTTCCTGAAAACAACCTCTGGGATGTTAGTGGAAGAAGTTCCTCTGGCGACGCCGCCTGCCTGCGCCGGCTGCCTTCGCTTCAGCCTGTCCTACACATCTGCTTCTCCAACTAATGAGAGAGGAGGAACGCCTGCAGCGATAGATGTAGAAAATAAATCCACCCTGTCATGAGTCTCTTTAAAGAGAAGCTCTTTAGGTACCTAGGGCTTCTGAGTCGAGTTTGGCTGCATAAGGCGTACGGTCTCTATGCAGTCCCAAAATGTATGGAGTCTAATTTCAGTCAATTCCAGGCTTGGATAATGTTAAGGAAGAAATAATAACTAAATTAATTAACTTTGGAAAAAAGTTTGGCTCTCTCTTCCTCTGGATCCCAGGTCCTCTCGGCGGGCCACGTGTAGCCACAAGGAAAACAACAATGTGTGTTGACGTCACAGAATTACAGTTTAATCCAATATAAGACAATGCATAAACTTACAAGCAAGACAATGCACAAACTTACACCAGAAACTGCAGAACGGAGACATACATTCATTTACCTGACATAAATGGAAAGAAGAAGAAAAGCAAAGACGTGCAAAGATATCTTTTGAGAGTTGCAAGAGCAAATCTAAATCTGTTACTTCTGTGTAGAAAGTTTTATAGTAAAAGGCGTATTCTTATCTGTAATTTATTCAAATAAGGCGTATCTTTGCTCATCCAACCAGGAGCTATCTCTGACCCTCTCTCTGAAGCCAGAAACCCCTGCCGTGTTTACGGCCTTTCACAGATGAGTGTGAAAACTGGAACTTCTACTGTATTGTTTTCCCACACAGACAAAAGGCAGTTCAAACGATCCTAGCAAACCATCTGCTGTAACTACAGGTAAATTAAAGGTCAAAAAGTCAGAATACATTACTAATTTCAAAACCACAATTAGGCCATTTGAATCAAGACATGTTAAGTTTTAAAACTAGCTTATTTTAAATTTATTTTCTCAACAATAAGTACAGACAAAATCAAAGTAGAGAAAAAATATTTGAATTTCCAAACTTCTAGACAAATAGAATAGGAAGTAAAGTCATCTTCTTACGTCCATCCTTACGTTTTTCAATCCTAGCTTGTTTCATTCTTCTCCTCTTTGCGTCCCTACGGCCTTTGATTGTTCCTTAGTTCCTCCCTTTCTTGAGTCCTTCCTTATTGTTCTTTCCTGTCTTTCGATCCATTCGTCCTTCCCTTTTTATTTTGCGTCCATTCTGTCTTTTACATGTCCCAACCGCCTTCTTTGTTTTCTACTTTTCTGTACTTTTGTCTTTCATTGATTCATTCCTACATTGATGCTTTGACCCGTTCTTTCTTTCACTCTTTCTTCTGTCCTACCTTCTTTTGTTGTCTTCTGCCTTTCCCTCGTTTCATTCTAACTGTCTTGCATCCCTTCGTACTTGACTTCATCCTTTCGTCTCTTTCCTACCTACACATGTTCGTTCTTGTGTCCTTCCTTTATTGCTTCCTTCCGTCCCTATTTATCATCATATTTTAAAGTGTATTCTTAAAGTTCAGGCCCTTGACCGAGAGAGTTGAACCCTGCATAATAATTTCCACGAAATCATTATGCAGGAACCCTGAACGTGCTTTGGGGCAAATTGGTCAAAGAGACTAAATTCATGTTACGCAGTCAGGCTAAATGATCTGCTCTAGTCGTAGCTATATTTCCTGGCATGTTTCAGGTTAATTTCCGAGTAAAGAGTCTACAATTTCCCTCTGCGTCTGTAGAAATAAGCCTCCTGCTTTAAACTTTTTTATTATTTCATTACTTTTCCAAGAATTCATGCAGCAGCAGAGTGCAGTTTGTTGTAAAGAGAACGACGGCGTTGTGATCCTTATGTTAGTTCCCCCGAAAATGTGCCACTTCGTTACAAGCTTCTCTATTTTTCAGCAAAAATTCCATGCATGGCTGAGTAATTACACAGCTCTAAAGCTTTCACAACCAGAAGCTGGAGGAACAAGGTCATTCTGGTAAATGTCAGCCATTTCTTGTGTCTGCCATCAACAGTGGTGGTTCTTGTTCGAACGGCACCCCGCCCCATGTCCCTCCTTCCCCGTAAGACACTAGTTACCGATACCGATAAAGCAAAGAAAATATTCATTGGATTTATTTTCTGTTCTCACAGCCAAAACACGACGGTGACAACGTGCTGCATCCAGGGGGACTCTCCTCTGCCGCGAGTTCAGTCGTTATTGAGAGGAATCATTGAGCTGGGACTGCGTAAACCACAGAGAGGTTTCCACAGAGCTGGAGCCACTTCAGACTCGCATCACATGGAAACCACTCCGGCGCTCGGGTCGGGATCAATATTTCTGGAGAAAAGAGACGCCTCTCTTCCTCTCTCTGGAACAGACGCTCGTTGTGCCACAATTACAGTTATGAAAGCTGTCAACGCAGCATGGGTATTAGTGGACATGAATTCTCATCTGGGGGACTGCACCAGAACCAGCAGGCCTTAATTATTCACAATGTGAACTTATGAGGCCGAGAAAAAAAAAAAAAAAAAAGCACTGTGCAAACATAATAGGAACACAGATGGAATGCAGGCTCTGATCTCTTATGTTATTTATTCAAAATAATTATCTTTGTGACTCAAGTTAAAAAGATAAAGTTGTGGTCTTCTTTGGCTGGGGACATCTTCATGTGTGTGTGTGTGTGTGTGGGGGGGGGGGGGGGGGATAAAAAAAATGTCACGAGCTAATTTACAACAGCTTAGGTTTGTTTCTGTGATGAATATGTGTAATATATTGCCCCAATGCGGCAGTCCAACTGCACCCAGAAAGCAAAACATCCTCAAAGAAAAATTAACATTGTTTCAAATAAAGGAAAGAGACAAAGAGTTTCTGTTCCTACTAAAAAAAAAAAAAGAAAGAAAAAAAACCGCTCCTCCGCCTTTGTCTTTAAGTTTTCTGCTGAACTGCATTTAGATTCGTGGTCGCTACACTCTTCATCGCATGAATTAGCCTAACTGAGGAACAAAAGACAACTCAGCCCGGTCCGTTTTCTTAATTGCTTTTCGACGCCAGGCGCAGATCCTCGAAGATAGGACCCGAAGTTGGTGTTAGCGCGGGTACAGTTTTTAATTAGCCCCCCTTTTCACAGCGCCTCTTCCGTGACAGCTGAAAGCGCGAGCCTTCGACGAGCACAAACCGGATCCGGAGGTTGTTCAACGTGTCTTAACAGGAAGTAACTAATGGCAACCGAGATCTTTAATCACTCATAGGTGCCGTTCATGGTTGGTAGGTGGACTGAATCACCGGCGCAAGCCTTGCAACATTTAGAAACAGCATGCTAGTAGGAGGAAGGAGAAGAAACCGACGGTGTTGTGTATTGTTTGCATCCAAAGAGATTAAATGACTGAGGGAAATGAAATCTACTTTTCGCTGAAGCAAACCAAGAAGAAGGGACATACCAAAATGTTGATAACTCTTCAACTTTTTCACATTTTTTCATGTTACAACCACAAATGTAAAGGTTTTTGAGGCACTAATGGAGTTTATTCAACAGTAAATGAGCAGAGAGAGAAGGGGTAGCCGTGCATCAATTGGTTAAAGGGCCAGGAATCAAAGTGTAATTTTTTTTATGGACTATAAATTGGCCCAGTTATTACTACAACAGACAGTAATATTGTTTTGAGACCATTTCAAGGAATATATTAATAATAGCATAATAATGCAACCTCAAAGCCAAGTAAGCT